TTTGTGCTCTAAGGCGTGTATCCCAGTGGTCAAGAACCTGTGCTTTGGCCGCACACTGAATTTGAAGTCCAATCCAACCCCTCCACTCACCAGTGACTTGTTCACCCTCTTGGAAAGCAAACTGTGCCTCTTAAAAGGCAGATCGCCATAGGGCCTACCTCTCTGGGGAGCAACGTGAAAGTAAATAAGAATTTACACGTAAGTTTACGGCAAAATAGCAAAACCAGGTTCTTCAAAATAGCAAGGGTTCTTCAACATTACCTATGCCGACAATTTGCGATGCATTTTTGTAGTCATGCATAGATCTTCTCTCGTATCCTGAACCTGCCCCCTCCTGCCAAGATTAAATGCAAGTCTGGAGAGGTAGAAAATTCCAATAATAAGAATGGTGATAAAAGGTAACAGTCACTGAGCATTGACCATATAACAGGCCCTGTGCTAAGAGCCTTCCAAGCCCAGTCTCAATGAATTCTCACACAAACCTATTACATAAGGATCATCCTGATCTCATTTTACAGTCAAAAACCTGAGACTCAGAGAGGTCAAGTAACTTTCCCTAGGTCACACAGAGCTACTAAGTGGCTGAGCTAAGATTGAACATGGGGCCATCTGACTTGAGCACACACAGTTAAGATCAGCCTGACTGCCTCTCCAGGGACTGCAGGTCACATCACTATGTAAATTGGGTGGGGTGGCTACTGAGGTGAATCTGAGACCTTCTTAAATGGGGCAGTCACCACTCAGCAGTAACCGACAGTTGCCATGTGCAAATGCATGCCCAGTGTTGCCAGACCTACCGATTTCTCAAGAGCAATCAGAAATCTGGATTTCTGTGTGAAATCTCCCAGGTTTTAAACACTGGCAATGGGTTCTAAGTTGGTTTTTAAACACCCTGTGTAACAGAGACTAAAGAGATTTCACAGCCACATGCAATGAGCTTGACTGGATCCTGGTTTGAAGCACCGAACTCCAAAAGACAGTTTTTGCTATGACTGGGAAGTGTTTAATATGATTGGGTATTTGATGACATTATGGAATTTTAATGTTTTTCTTGGATGCGATGCTGGAATTGTGTTACATGGGAGAACGTCCTTGTTCTTAGGAGATCCGTGCTGAAGTTTTAGGGACAAAGTGCCATGTCTGCAACTTTTCTTCAAGTGCTTCATCCATAAAACAAAGGAAAAAAGAGGGAGATAGGTGGAGAGAGAGGAAAGAAAAAAGGGATATTTGGAGAGAAAGAGATAGCAGTAAAACAAATATGACAAAATACTGATAACTGTTTGGTCTAGATTAGTAGTTCTCAGCTGGGGGTGATTCTGCCCCTAGATGACATTTGGCTCTGTCTGAGGACATTTTTTACTGTCATCACTAGGTTGTGGGGTAGGTGCTACTGGCATCTAGTGGGTAGAGTCCAAGGATGCTGCCAAATATCCCACAGTGCACAGGGCAGGCCCCACAACAGAGAATTATCCAGCCCCAAATGTTGATTGTGCCAAGTGAGAAACCCTGGTCTAGATAAGGGGTCTACTAAAGTTCCTTTTTATTCTTCTTTCAAGTTTTTGTATGTTTAAAATGTTTCACAATAAAAAACAATCTTTTAAACTTTTAAAAAAAAATGAAAATGAAAAAAAATAAAAATATCTTCCGGACCAAACAAAACATGTCTACAAGGTTGGGTAACCATAACTGGCCACTTGCGGTCACTTTCCTCAATAAACAGTGGTTGAATGTAGTTGCTGCTACAGCTGCTGAATGAGCATCTGTATAGTTCTGACAACATCCAGCCTAAGGCCCCTTTCCTGAAATTACTGTCTTTTTTCCTGCTTTCAGTCCTAATCAGCCCAGAAGGAAACAGGCAACATGCCCAGGACTATGAGCCTAAAAACTGGTATCACAGAGGCTTCTTCTGGGAAAACACAAGCGCACTGGTCACCAGGAGCAGTTTGTGACATGGAAGCGGCAATGTGCTGTCAGTCTCTGAAGGGGAGGTGCTTTCAGATGAGATGAGAACAAACCCCTCATTTCGTGCCCCTCACAGTCAGAGACAAAACCAATTAAGAGGCTGTGGCCAGCATATTAATTTCACCTGGAAGCCACCTGCTAGCCTCTTTGATGCCAAGCGTGGTGTGTCAGCCCCACCCAAGCATCCCTGAGCCCCTACAGGCTAATAAGCCCATTGCTATGGCTGGGACTTAAAATGATTCCCTGCATAAGTGGCCCAAGGTGCATTTGGAGGGCATCTGGGACAGTCCCAGCACCACAGAAATATACATCAAGGCTACATACATGCAGAGAACAAGCAACAGAATGCAAATAAGAGAGTCACCTTGGACTGATTCAAGCCCTGTAAAATAATCCCAAACCCAAGAACAGTCTTTCTCAAAGTGTGGGGCACTTACCATCAGCCATTCGGGGCAGTTGTTAAATGCAGATTTGTGGGGCCCATTCCAGACCTCTTTATTGGAAATCTCTCTGGCTAGAACTCAAGAATGTGCATTTTAGGAAGCTCCCTCAAATTCTGATGCTCACCCCATCTGCAAAGATCTGTCCCAGACACAGTGGAAACCAGGGAACTAAATATTGTACAATTTTGTAACTGTGTGACCTTGGGCAAGCCACCCAACCTTGTACGCAGGAATTAAAATAGCACCTGTCTCATAGAATAATTGTGAGAACTAAAGGAGAGATTGTTTACACACACACACACACACACACACCCTTGTGCAGTGCCTGACACCCAGAACTGTTCTGAGCAAATCTTACTTCCTTTTCCTTAGCAGCGATTGGCTGAACATCGTAAAACCTGGAGAGCTTTACAAATGTACACTCAGGCCCTCCCCCTAAAGACTTCGATTTAAACTGTCCAGGGTAAGGCCCAGGGTGAGGATTTCTTTTTTTAAATAGCCTTCTAGGTGATCCTAAACAGCAGCCAAAGTTGAAAACCACACCTCAGAAGCGGTCAGAAAAATATCGACTCTTCTTTCTCTTCGGGTGTGTGCACTTGCACTCCGTTCTGCAATTCCCAAAATGTATACAAGGAGAGCCTGTATTGAGGCTGTTACAGAGGACTGGGTACCCCTAGATTCTACCTTCCAGCAGACCTTTCCAGATACCAGCAGAAGAATGTGGCAGGAACCTGCTGAGCTGGAGTGATTCTTTTTCTCCTAAGCAGAGCTGCCAGGAGGCAGGACCAAGAAGCTGGGTCCCTGCTGGGCCCTAAGGTACCCGGTGGAGTGCAGTCGCAACAGAAAAACCTAAATCAAAGGGCCTGAAGCTAGCATCACTTTCTCCCATAGGTGCCCAAAGGTTAGCTCTTCTCCCACTTTTCCTCCTCCCTGCTCCCTCTCTGCCCCCATCCCCCACCTTTAAGCGCAGGTTTGCAAGGAAAGTGCTCGGTGAAGATTTCAGCAGAGGTATTAACCCGAATCTGCAAGGTAGCCTACCTATCCCTGTGAGAATCTCTCCCTACCAAGGCGACACCGGCTGCCGCAGTCCTGCTTGCGTATCTCACCCTCACCTTAACACAGACCCCGGGAATCCACGGGGAAGGCCGGCATTGCGGGGAAGTGAAACCACCTGGCCAATGGGGGTGGCGACCGGGCACCTTGGGGTTGCAGGAGGTGGGCGGGGCCGGCGCTTTACTCCTAGAGTAGGTCAGCGTACCTGCGGAGCTTACTTCTGTGCCTCAAGATCTCACCATCAATCCACACCTCCCTAATGACCCAAAACGACAGATATTTCTTCACCTCACCCCCTACACACACACACACACAAAGCCCTCCCCTCTGGAAGAAAAAAAGTCATCGGATACTCTGCGTATAAATAGAAAATAATTACTAATGAGGTAGTGATGTTCCTTCGCCTATTTTCGCTGGGGCTCTTTGTTCAGATTTTTTAGGCAGGCTCCCGGAGCGCGTGCATACACACGCGCACACACAGGCCCCCAGCGGAGGTATGGTGTGTGTATGTGTGTGTCTGTGTGTAGTGGGGAACACATGGCAACTCCGTTACCCGTACTCGGCAAGAGGATAAAGCGTGCACCCCAGCCATCCAGCAGGCCGCTTGTCGCTCTTCAACCCCACCTGCCGGGACCTCACACCAACCCCTGGCCTCTACCCAGTATGGGGCTGCGTCCTCGTCTCCAAAGTTACTGGGTTGTGCGAATCAATTCAGACACTTAAAAAACAAGCAAAAGGCAAATAGCTCCATTAATCCCCAAATGCCTTCTTCCATCTGCTGCGACTTCCTCGTGCTGGGACTTGCATAATGAATGAGGCTAATGGGAAAGTTGACAAATCAGGGTGTCGGGGAGGGGGGTGGTAACGGCGCGAAGGGCGGGGGCTCTGGCCTTTGAAGTCCAGCCCAGCTCCAGCAAGGGGCTCAGGGAGAGGTAGTGAAAGGGGAGCGGAGCCAGGGAGGGGGCGGCAGAGACTGAGTTCCCGATTCCCAAGACCTTGCAGCTCAGGGAAAGCAAGGCGGCCGATCCAAACAAGGCTTTTGTTCTCGCCCTCCCCTGGCTCTCCACCTCCCTTGCTTCCTTTTTCGCGAGCCGTAAGAGTTGCAGGCGGCACACACTCCTTTCCCTCCCTCCTTCCGTCACACACGCGCGCAACGGGTTCACACACACCCCTCTTCCCTTTGCCGGCCAGCCGGCCCCTGTTTACCTAGGCTACTATCTGGAGCCAGAGGGTGACCCCTCCCTAAAACCCAAGACTTCGAGGCCAGGGGCATCCAGCTGTGTGCTTCAAGTCCGCTTCGATCTTTGGCTCGGGGAGGGGGCACGGCAAGAGGGCGAGAGAAGGGAGACCACACACACACACAGACACACTAGCTCATATCCACACTTGTGCAGAGCCCCCTCTCCTAACCGAAGTTGGCTTGCCGATGATATCCCACAGCAGAGATGCTGGGGTGGGGGGACGCCATTGCTTGGGGAAGGTGGAGAGGGGAGAGAGGGGGGAGCAGCGCTAGGAGGGGAGAGCGAGGGGGAGGCAGCCCACCTGGACATGTGCTCCCTTTGGGGCCGGTGCGCTTTCTCCAGTCCCAGCTTGGTGAAGATGCCCACGAGCACCATGACAGCCACCACCCCGCAGATGATGTATACGATCAGGTTGGTCTTGTCCTTGGTGGGGTCGTGCAGGGGGTCGTCTTTGCGTGCTGGGGGCTTGCCAGTGTTGAGCCAGAGCGGAGTGTCGTAGTTGGTGCAGGTGCTTTGGTTGAGTCGCCGCTTCTTAAACGTGCAGCAGAACCGGAAGCCACAAGTCCCGCAGCAGAAGATGAAGTCGCCCGAGCTGCAGTTGAACGGCGGGTCCCACTGGCCCATGACATCGAAGTAGCCCCGGCAGAAGTCCGGCGTAGGCGCCCGGGTCGGGGGCGCGTCCGAGACGCTCGCGCCCTCGCCGACCTCCCCAGAGGCGGCTCCCGAGCGGTTGCCCCCAGTCAGCACCACCACGCCGCCCAGCTGCGCCAGCTGCCCGTGTCCCGCTCGCTCCTGCGCCCGGCACACGCGGGCGCACAGCTCGGTGAGGAAGCAGCCGAGGAGCAGCCGGAGGACTCGCCGCATCGTGTCTCCCAGCCCGGGCTCCGCCGCTCGGCCGCCGCTAGAGCTGCTGCAGCCGCCTCTTGAAGCGCGGCCGAAGCTGCCGAGGCTGCTGCCGGGGGCTGCGAGCCGCCGCGGGCCGCACATGCAGGGAGCGGCACGGGGCGCTCGGTGGTCAGCGGCCACGGCGCTCGGCTCAGCCCGCGTTCGCCTCCAGCGCGCCGCGCCGAGGGGCTGGCCGAGGAGGAGCGCGCAGGGCTGGACGGGGGGAGGATGAGCGGGGGCAAGCGCGGGGTGCAGGTCCGGCTGGCTACAGGGAGAGGCGGGGGCCGGAGAGCAGGGGAGAGTCAGTCTGTCCGCGCCTCCCCTCGGCTGGCAGCTCCTGACTCGCTGCCCCGCGCCCGCTCGCAGAATCCCTCTCACCTCTTCAGCTTGCCAAGTGCGCTGGTGAGAGCGAAGCGACACTTGTGGAATGAAAGGAGGGCAGGGAGAAGGGGGAGGGGGAGGAGGGCGGGAAGAGGAGGCGGAGGGGGGGAGGCGGGCGCGAGCTCGAGAGGGGCGGGGGCGCGGGAGAGGTGACTCGGGCGGGCGGGCGGGAGCTAGTTGGGGGGCGTGCAGAACCGAGCCAGGCTGGCGGGCAGGATGGAGGGTGCTTCGCAGCCACAGAAGGAACAGCTCGGATTTCTCGGCAGGTGGAGGACGACGGCAGCGGGACCTCCCGCGCCCTCTCTGGGCTGGAGGCGCGGCTCAGACCTGTTCCCCAGCGCAGAGGCGGCTACGCCCGAAGCTTTTTCAGGCGTGCGAGCACAGGAGCTGCGGCTCGAATCTGCCCAACAGGGAAAAGGTGACTCGGAGGGGATAGGGACAGATTAAGTAGTTTACACTCCAACACAGACTGGGGCTCATTCTGATCAGGATCGCCCCTCCCAGGTGAGCGGGGCCACTTTGCCCTTTCTGCTCCAGGCAGAAACGCCACCCGGATGGCTCAACTCCTTGGGCTGAGGCGAGGACCAAGGCTGAGCTGCGAAGGTGGGGTGGCAAGCCCCTGGGCCCGGGGTAAGCACCCAGGCGAAGGGCTTGGGCTGAACTAAAGTCAAAGAGGCGCAGGGGGTAAGGAGAGACAGTCGACAAGGCCGAGGCAATGGGATGTCCTGGAAGGTCTTTCCTTGGTACTCTCCCAGGCCCCGGACCTGCCACTTTTCTGTCCCTCTTCCCCCTGGTAGCATTTCCTGCGCTCCACAGGAGGGCACACCGCGGCGCCGCCTCTGCGTGCCCATATCTGGTGCAGCGCAAGGCCTGTACACCCAGTCTTCGCCGCTCTCCTGGACCTGGCGCCCGTGCACCAGTTCCCAGACTCGGCTGGCCCCTGTCCCCTCCAAGCCCCCCACTCCACCCCACCCCAGGTCATCCTCACCCGGGGCTGCGGAGCTGGCCCTGTTCCTCGGCTTCCAGTCTTGCGTCGCCCTCTCTCAACTCAGCGGATCCCAGCCATCGTCAGCCCGCTTGCATTTCTCCCACTTCTTCCTCTCCTCTGCTTGAATTTGACTCCAGTAGCCCCTGAAACAGGATTTGTACCAGAGCTGCTACACCAAATTTAGATTTCCACACGCCCCTGCGTTTTGTTTTTTTAATTGCATTAACTAAGTATACACTTCACAGTCAGCTGGGCTATTACGATGTTTCCACCACTCTCCTCTCTATTTGGCTGCTGTCAGACTCTTCTCAGGGTATTTTCAAGGAACCAAGAAGTTGGACCAGTAAAGTAACATGCTGAGGTCCCCTTAAATGAAAAAGCAAGGAGGTGTATTGGGGCTCTACTGCAGCTTTTCTCAGAAAGAGCTAATTGTGCTTTCTCTTTGAAGACACATCACCTACGGTCTTCCCAAAGAATGACCCTGTTCCAGCACAAATGCACCAAGGCAACATTGACAGAGCATATCCAGGAGTATCTCAGTCCCGGAAGACTCACTGAATTATGGGCTGTATTATGTGCCAAACCCACAAGACAAGGTGTGAGGTTGTGAGTATAAATTCATCAGATTCATCATAATGGGGGTCCCAAAATAAGAGTGTGGCTGTCTGTGGACCCACACCCACCACCACTGTGTGAATCTCTACAAACACAGTTTGGTGTGTGAGAGCTAACGATAGCTGACATTTTATTCAGCGTTTGCAACATCCCCACTAAGCTTGCTTCTCACAGATGCTTAGAGCAGTGCCTAGCATCTAGCAGACAATCTGGGAATATTTGCTGAACCATTGAGTGGCTGATCTCATTTAACTCTATCAGTTAGGCAACATTACCAGGCCCAAACAACAGAAAGAGAAACTGAAGCTCAAAGCAATTAGACCAGTTGCCCAGGGTAGCTCAGTCAGGAAGTGTGCAGTTGGCTTTTGACCCCAAAAATTTGACTTGGGGAGTCTGTGTTCTAACCACTGCAAAACAGGCCTCCAGACTCCATCCATCTGACATTATATGATGCATTTATTTTTTTCTATCTCCCCACATAGAAATTTAACTTCATGACAAAAATGGCCATGACTCTTTCAGAGTCCCCGAGCATCTAGAACAGAGGAAAACACACATATATATATATATATATATATATATATATATATATATGCTGTTTTAATTAACTAATTAATATCTTTTATGAAAGACCTTGTCTTAAATCAAGAAGAAAAAAAAAAGGAACACAAGGCAGGGACAGATGATAGAATTTCTGCGTCATGACACCTACAGAGGGGTTGGCACATTCCTACATGCCAAATGAGAACTGGAAAGAGCTGCCCCAAGCAGGCTTGCTAAGGTCCAGGAAGCTAAAACTCAGAGAGGTTAAGGGCTTTGTCCAAGATCACAAGGCCAGCACTTGGGAAAACCAGAGCTGGATACAGACGGCCAGACTTCTAATGTCTAGTTTCCTGCCATCCCACCTCACTGCACCCCCACCCTGGAGCTTCCTAGCATGCATCAGAGCTGAGAGCAAAGGGCAAGAACCTGGTAGAAGAGTAGGTGGTAGACACTTCCCCACAAGAGCTTGGGGTTTTAAGGCATTTATACGTTTGATTTTTAAAAAGAAAAAAAATTTTAATGAAATCCAGTCTCTGTAAAATATTGCCTGTCACCTGGACATTTGAGTCGGGTCCTCAGAGGAGACTGGCTGTGGCTGCTGCTCCCCCTTTAATTAACAGAGACTGCCCCCTGTTTGTGACAGAGGGAGTGCAGGGTGGTGCTTTGGAGAGAAGCTGACCAGATCCACCCTTAGTGGCTTATTTGCCAGATTCCAAACCTTAAGCCTCCTATCCCTTGAGCTTTGCCCAAAGCAAATTCCCTCTGGTCCTGTCCATCATGACTGTCATTGCTCCTGGCATATTGCCAGAGCCTGTTTCCCAGACATTTGAAAATTATTTAGAAGTGGGAGGATCATCTTGGTTCATTTTATTCTTTGAAGGAAAAAAGTTTATGTCCTCTGGGTAGTTCCAGTCAGTAAATACTCACTGCCTCCTAATAGATGTGTGATTATTGGGAACAGGACCCCATTTGGAACATCTTCCAGGGCTCCTGGTGGGGGAGGGAGGGATAAACTTCCTAATTGAAACACCTGGTAAGTTCATGGAAGATGAAAAATCATCATCAAATGACACCCCCTGCCACGACCCAAATGAATTCATGCAAATGTGTTGAAATTAAAATGCAGCTCTTATTGCAAGTACTTTCTAAGAAAGAGATGATGACATTATTATTTACAACACAGGAACTTTTAATATCCAAAGAAGAATCTCATTTTCCCTAGCCTTAATTATGTCAGACTACAGGGCACGTTACAAAGAGAATGCAACTGTACTCCCCAGCAATTAGGGGAGAGAGCCACGTGACAAAGGATGTGTGCTTACCAGGAGGCACAACCAATGTCCACAAGCAACTGGACAAATTAGATTATTTGTGCGGTGGCCCTCAAAATCATCCTCATCAGGTGGCTTTTAGGGTTTCAAAGAGGTTTCTAAGCAACTGTTAGCCTTGAGAAAAAAAGATGCAAGAGAAGCTGTTGATTCAAACCCTCAGGAGCTCCCTGCATGAAATCTGAAACTGGCCCCACACACAGAGGGCGGGGAGAGAGAGCGGAAAGGCAGGCTGCTCCACAATGGTAGGCAACAGGTTTAACAAGGGAACTTACCTTAGAAGGCTTGTCTTGGGCCGCAAGATGAGATCACCACACCTGCCCGCCAGTTTATATAGAGGACTTAATGGGGGTCAGCATGTGTACCATCCAGATGGCCTCAACAACACCTACCCTCTCAAGGCTACAGCCTTGGAAGTGCAGGAACAGTGGGCAGAATGTACACATTTCAAGGACGGGGCGCGGGGGGGGGGGGGGGGGAGCAGCCTCTGATTGCCTGGGTCCAGCTCAAGGGTCAACCTCTGGGCATGTCCTCTCAATGACTTCCTTTAACAGAAGCCTAAATGCACTTAGCACCTTGCCAGGTTCAAGCAACACCCTCATTTGATATATTTTATTCTCTTATTCTAAAGAAATAAGGCAGCGGTTCTCAACCTTCCTAATGCCAAGACCCTTTAATACAGTTCCTCATATTGTGGTAACCCCCAACCATAAAATTATTTTTGTTGCTACTTCATAACTGTCATTTTGCTACTGTTATGTCTTAGGTGACCCCTGTGAAAGGGTCTTCGACCCCCAAAAGGGTCACGACCCACAGGCTGAGAACCGCTGAGATAAGGGAAGTCTTCTAGAAGAAGTGAAGTGAGTCTGAAGTATAGTTCCCCAAGACTGGAGGTGGTACATGAGATGATTTTGCGTGGTACCCCAACAATCATTTTTTAAATAGTTTTCTATTTATTTCAATGTGCATCAGAAAAAAATAATGACACATCCAACACATGGCTCCATGGGAATGAATGCTTATGGTGTGGGGAATCCCTTTAAGCCCATCAGTGTAAAGTCAATTTAAGAAAAATAATAAGTACATCATAGTATTTATTAATGAAGTACAAATAAGGAAAAGAATATGAAGTGTCTGGT